TTCAGGTTTGCCTGGAGGAGATAAGGGCATGGATGGCTGACAACTTTCTTCAACTAAATAGCAGCAAAACCGAAGCCATCCTGATCGGTACTCCACATCAAACCCAGTCCTCCTCCCTCAGCAGTATATCCATTTTTGGTCATCACATTCCCCTGTCTACTTCTGTTACAAACCTTGGAGTCAGACACTCACATCCGTCACCTCTGTAAGGTCTCTTTCCTCCACCTCAAAAACATCGCCAAACTCCGCCCCTCCCTCTCACAACTAGATGCTGAGAAGTTGATCCATGCCTTTATCTCCTCCAGGCTGGACTACTGTAATGCCCTCCTCGTCGGGATCCCTGGCAGGAGACTGCAAAAGCTCCAGCATATTCAGAACTGCGCTGCCCGGGTCCTGACGAGGAGGCGCAAATATGACCATATCACTCCAGTCCTGAAATCCCTCCACTGGCTGCCCATTCAATACAGAATTCAATATAAAATCTGTCTCCTTACCCACCAGTGCATACATGGAACTGCCCCTGCCTACCTCAGTGAACTCCTCACCCCACTCACCACCTTAAGAAACCTCCGCTCCTCCACCTCTACCCACTGCCTGCACCAACCAAGGACTAAACTCTCCACCATGGGAGACAGGGCCTTCCAGGCAGTCGCCCCACGGCTCTGGAATGCCCTCCCAGAGCCCCTAAGGGCCCCACAAACTCTGGAGGTTTTTAAGAAGGGCCTAAAGACTTTTTTATTTCAAAAGGCCTTTTAGCAGTCATGGTTTTAAATTTTTTGTTACGGTGTTTTATTGCGATTGCTATTTTCTGGAACTGTTTTTAACCCCTTGTTGTTGTAGCACTTTGAGATTTCCCTGAAATGTAAAGTGCATTATAAATAAAATTTATTATTATTATTATTATTATCATTTATATGTTTTTTTTGCATACCTTCTTGGGGCTGTATGCAGCCTGTGAGGAATAATGAACATACTACTGAGAGCTGAAAAAAGTCCCACAACTCCTCTGACTTTTCAGGAAACAGGAATAATTATTCTCAAAAGACCCTAGAATTTAACACCCGTCCAAGATAATGCAGTAAAGGACAGTGCTGTTTTTAGTAAAATGGTGAATTTAAAATTATTTAAGTTAGTAAAATTTAATAATTTGGAAATCCCCTCCCCCACTAATCCAACCAAATCAAATAACTAAATCAACCATCTTAATCGTGAACATAAATCATTTATCAAGCTAACCATTTTAACATTTTACATTTCCTTGGAACATTGAAACCTTTCACAAATGTGATGGGCAAAAGGCAAGGGTAAATCCTTAACTGGTGTCTGGCTATCACAGGACAAATTAGGCTTGGCAAACACATTCACACTCAAATCTACCGGAAATTTACAGTTTCCAATTCACCTAAAACTTGAAAGTAAACCAGGTGGGGAAACCCCTTCAGAAAGGCTCAACAGGCTACATGGCAGATTCATAACAAGATTTTAATGCTTTGGGATGACAGTGCTACTCACTGATGCACCGTGCTGCATATGTTTTGGCCACCAGTTTTAATTATTTGAACGTGTCTAAATACTCATGACAGCCATGAGCCTCAGCTGCCGTTGCCATGGAGAAGCTGGTCAGAGGTGTAGCAAATTTAAAACACTTTGTTGTCACAGTTGAGAGCAAAACATGACGCCATAGTTGCAGTCTCCTCGATGCTGAGAAGTACAGATACTCATGTACTGTATAACCATCATGTCAATACCATCAGGGTTTGCATCGGATTGGCCCTAAATTTATTCTGCAGCATGACAACAACTCCAAACTACAGCGAAATTAATTAAGAACTATCTTCAGCATAAAGAAGAACAAGAAGTCCTTGAATGGTATGGCCACCAAAGAGCCCTGATCTCAGAATCGAGTCTGTCTGGGATTAAATGAAAAGAGAGAAGCAAGTGAGGCTGCATAAATCCACAGGACATCGGTGGATAGTTCCAAGATGTTTGGGCCAACCTACTTGCTGAGTTCCTTCAAAATCTATGTGCAAGTGTAGAAGAAGTTATGCTGTTCTGAGGGTGGTCACACGAAATATTCACTCAGTTCACTCATTTTGCATTTTGATAATTGATGAATATAATCTATTAACGTGGCTATTTTTAAAAGGATTCTTACTTTACAGCATTTATGTATGTCACCAAAAGAAAATGTGTAATCATTTCCAAACAGACCTGTCTCTCTCTCGTTCACTTTATTATGTGACCATCTCTATATACTGACACTGACATCTTACATCAGTTTTTGTGAGGACGTGTGTGCCGACTAAGACCTTCCGCACAGACAACAACCATAAACCCTGGTTGACAGCGAAACTCAGGCAGCTTTGTCAGACCAAGGAAGAGGCCTTCAGAAGTGGGGACAGAGTCTTGTACAACCAGGGCAGGAACACAATGACTAAAGAGGTCAAAGCTGCAAAGAGGTGCTGTGCTGAAAAGCTAAATAACAGCTTTGCAGCCAAGAACCCTGTGTCGTTGTGAAGAAGCCTACGGACACTCACAAACTACGAGACCATCCCCCAACACTGCTGGTACTCAACGACTGGCAGACGATCTGAATGGTTTCTACTGTAGGTTTGAAAAGCCCAGAGTCACACCTCTCCCCCACTCCAACCAGTCACCTTCCCCCTCTGAGCTCTCACCTGCACTCAAGATCTGTGAAGAGGACGTGAGCCACCTCTTCCAAAGGCAGAAGATCAGGAAGGCTCCTGGACCTGACGTGTCTCACCATCGTGCCTGAAAATCTGTCCGGACCAGCTGGCCCCCATCTTCACTCAGATCTTCAACAAATCACTGGAGCAACATCGGCCTCATCCGGGACGGTGATGAGTCGGCCTACAGACGGAAGGTTGATCAGCTGGCTCACTGGTGCAGTCAGAACAACCTGGAGCTTAACACGCTCAAAACTGTGGAGATGACCGTGGACTTCAGGAGGAGCCCCCCCACTTTGCCCCCCATCACTATACTCAACAGCCCTGTGTCTGCTGTGGAATCCTTCAGGTTTCTGGTTTCCACTATATCCCAGGACCTGAAGTGGGAGCCCAACACTGACACAATCATCAAGAAGGCCCAGCAGAGGATGTACTTCCTGCATCAGCTCAGGAAGCTCAACCTCCCTATCGATGTGCTGATCCAGTTCAACACAGCCATCATCCAGTCTGTCCTCTGCACCTCCATCACTGTCTGGTTTGGATCTGTCACCAAAAAGTACAGAGACAGACTACAACGGACAGTCAGGACTGCAGAAAAGATCATCGGTGCCAACCTGCCCTCCATTCAGGACTTACATTTCCAGAGTCAGGAAACATCACTGCAGATCCATCTCACCCCGGACACAACCTGTTCCAGCTCCTCCCCTCTGGTATGCGCTACAGAGCAAAACCAACAGACACAGAAGCAGTTTCTTCCCACAAGCCATCACTCTGATGAACAGCTGATTTCTGACTACGTGTCAGGAACAATTCCTGTGCAATAACTCTGTCTCTAATCAGCCACCTGTTTACTGGCTTCCACTTATTTATTTATTCACCATTCTCTATTTCAGTGCTGTTCATACTATGTCATATTGTATATACTGTATACCAATACACCTACCTCAGGTCATAGGTCTTTTCTCTATTTTTTCCAGCATCCTTTGCACTATGCTCTATCACACTGTGTACATGTATGCATGTATGTGTACCTGTATATCATATCCACCTTCAACATGTACATATTGAGAATAGTTTACTCTTGCATCCTTTGCACTCAGATCACTGCACTATTTGTCAATATGTCTATATTGTTTTGTTCAGAGTGTGTATATTAGTGTTGTCTATTCTGTAGTTTGTGTCTGATTTTTAATTTATTATTATATATTATTGTATTATTGTATAAGTAAGCACATTGTGAGCAATGAACAATCCTGAGTCAAATTCCTCGTATGTGTACATACCTGGCAATAAAACTGATTCTGATACACAGATGCCCAATGACACGAAGACCCAATCACAATGCTGATCATCTTACACTGCTCATTCTTCCTCTTGAAATGAGAGAACCTCATCAGACTAGTAAAACAAGTCACAAATTACTGATGCTGTCCCTTTGAATAATTTGCCTTTCTCACAAACAGCAAATTCTTTGAAGTCTTTTCACACAACTCTTGATACAAGTAAGACTCAAATGTAAGTCGTTCTGGATAAAAGCGTCAGCCAAATGAGTAAATGTAAAGTCACATACACACGGAGTGATCTTTACAGGATGAAAAAAATCCGCAAGTGTGTGCTTGAGTAAAAAAAACAAAAAACAAATACTGTTTTAATGGAGGGACAAAGTCTAAAATAACACATGGATGATCTTCTCAAAATAAATAAAATTAAACCCTCTTTACTTAGGCCATGTGTGTAGATTAGGAGAGTACACTTTAGCATTATGAGAAATAACCTGATCTGGCATTACAGTGGTTTCAGTAAGTAGACTGTGACCAGATGAACATCTACATTGCTGCCAACAGATTTCCAGTTTTGTAGTTTTGAGTTATGTTACTTTCAGCAAATATATTTTCATTGGAACCGTTTTATCAGCTGTAGGCTTAGTAGTACTGTATTAGATGTATTTTTAATGATACAGATTTCAATGGTAACAAAATGATAAAAGAACGAGTCCACTATAAACTGATACACCCTTCATTTCCCACAATAGCGTTTAAAGAGAACACAAAAGCTTAACATTAACATGAATTGACTATGGATGCGGTTGGGACATTGCAGCAATCACAAAATGAAACTTTTAAGCGTTTAAATAAACACTACTATTACTATGATCTTGTTACTGAGTGTCCCAAACGCGGGAGGGGATACTGAATGAATCGCGTTTTACAGTTCATGGCCTCACGTCTCTAAAGCTTATTGGAGAAACACGCGAAGGAGGCCAATTAGATTTAACATTAGGCTACTATTGATATTTAACAGACAGTAACTTACTCAAAACGTCCTGGCTGGCGACTGAAGACCACAACCCAACGGGATGCACTAACTCTAGAGTTCCTGTGTCCTTGTTTCGGAAGGTATCACTTCTGCAAGATAGCGGCTTATAAAGTATCGGTGTGACACCTCCCTTCCGGTATTCCTCAGTCACCCACGCTGTTGATTCACCTTTGGATGTGGGCGTGTCATCACAAAACCCACCACCTATCCATGGTGGTTTTTGTACCAGTCACACACATAAATAGCTCTTCTTATCAAATGGCCCTATAAATCAGGATTTATAGCCTACTACATGTAACACTAAGCAAAGCGCGATTTAGGGTAGGCTATTTTAAGCTTAGGCTAGCAGAGGAGGTCATATCATATGAAATAGGCTACTATGTGATCGCCTTCACTGCATGATGCTCTGTGCTTGGCCAACAGTCAACCCACAACGACTACACACATAGTTTACTTAACAGTAACAAGGAGGTGAATCCTTTTAAATAGGCTATATTCAGAGAACTTTGCCCAGTATACAGTACATTAGTTCATGTCAAAACATATGCCATAGGCCCATAGGTGTCATTTAAACTGGGGATGCTGGCGACATTTTCCCACCACATTTTGAAATGGCTGATTTTGTCCCCATCACTGTTGGAAAGCATTTGTAAAAAATATTCTGATAACTTACTTGCACCAAGAAATGTTAACTAACTTTCTCTTTATATATATAAAGACATTTCCACTATAAATTGGAGCAGAAAATGTCTCCAGAATGCAGGAAATTAAGTGTTTAATGCTCAAAATCTTCTGGGGAGAAACCCCAGGCCTGCCACTCATATATTTCAGCATGAGCCTTTATGTCCCCACCACTTTTCAACACAAAATGATGCCCTTGCATAGGCCTACATGAAGCATTTTTCATGGGAAGGACAGAGAAGGTTAGCCTACAGTACAACAATATCCAATTGCTAAATGGCTAAATTTTATTAACAAGTAGGCCCACATTGCATTCCTTTGGCAGATGCATTTGTCCAATTGTACTTTCACTAAGTGCATTCTACCCTTGTAGCGGTAGAGCTAGATATCATCCAAAATTGTGAAGTGTGTCCCTTTTAAACAACTAACATGATCAATACAACACTACAGATGCTTACAGATGTTTTTATGTCTCAGTGCATTTGATTTATTTATTGCTGTTGGGAAGTAAAGAGAATTTCAACAACAACTTTATCAAAGCCATATTTGATTAACACAAAAACAGTTCCTCTCAGCAAATATGGCATCCTTTGCCTTTGTTTTGTGGCATCTGTGAGCTGGTTGAAAGCCTGTAACCCTTCCAAAAGACACTTAATGGCATGAAGGACACAAAAAGGCTTAGATTAGTAGCTTTAGGTTTACTATGTATCAACATCAAGTGAACCCACACTATTGGTAAATCACATAATAATCATCAGGTAGCCTGAATCATTCAGTAATTACTGTATATATCAACAAACAAGACATTAAGTGAGAAGCATAGTACTGCAATTTGTATTAGCCTTAGCTTTAATTCAGCAATTGTTTAAGTCATTTGTCACATTTACTTCTGACTTTGATTGTCAATCCGATACAAGCTTAGCCCCGGTTTCCATTATAGTAGTCATACTGAAATTTTTGGGCAGAAAAATCTTGTTCTTCCACAAGCTTTTTCCTGTTTAACAAGAGTGAGAGTTATTAACCACACTAGTTTGTCTGTGGGGCATTGCTTAAGCCCTGTAGTGATTTGTGCTAAATGTCAGTATTAGCATGCTAATATTTGCATTAAATGGAAAGTAGCTGATGAGGGCACCAGAGGAAAAAATAGGGGATGTCTGGGAGCAATGACTGACTTTACAGTTGGTGCCAATCCATCTTGTAGATACAAGATGCAAGACAAGATATAGGCCTAGGCTATAAAAAAAATTTGAGTTGTCGAGATGTATTCTAGACCAAACTAGTGTAACAACATTGCCATCCATAGAGCCATGGTGGCTCTAGGATAACTAAAATGGGAAACATCCAATTGCTAAATGGCTAAATTTTATTAACAAGTAGGCCCACATTGCATTCCTTTGGCAGATGCTTTGTCCAATTGTACTTTCACTAAGTGCATTCTACCCTTGTAGCGGTAGAGCTAGATATCATCCAAAATTGTGAAGTGTGTCCCTTTTAAACAACTAACATGATCAATACAACACTACAGATGCTTACAGATGTTTTTATGTCTCAGTGCATTTGATTTATTTATTGCTGTTGGGAAGTAAAGAGAATTTCAACAAATATAAAAAAACTGCTTCTGAAATAAATTGCCTAGCCTAGCTTCAAGGATTTATTTCAACACAACCATATAAAATAAAGAATTGATATTGCTTACTGTTTACAAATCAATCACTTGGATAGCTCCTAAATATATCTCTGACCTACTCACTGCTTATAAACCCTACAGAATTCTCAGATCATAAGACTCCATTCTCCTAACTAGACTCATCTGATGAAGGTGCATTCATTTATTTTGGACAAATTCTCTGGAACAAACTGCCTGGTAATATAAGATGTACCATACCTGTGTTGTCCTTTAAAAACAAACTTACCTGTTCTCTCAGGCATGTGGTACAACCACCGCCTCGCTGTCTCTCTCTCTTTCATTCCCTCTCTCTTTGGGTACGTGTGGGTGGGCAGGGGATGACATATTTTATTGAAACATTTTATTTTATTGCATGTATTTAAATATGGATTCATGTTTAATTTAATTTTGTTCATATTTGCTGTGTGTGAAGTATATTGAGCTGACATTGTAAGAAATGTAACTTGACTTGAGGCAGTGCCTTGACATCCACTCCAAGAGGTCAGCCAGGCAAACAGCAAAGTAATCCAGCCCAGTTCAGATGCACCCTCCCCCTTCCCTATCAGGTGCCTGCGGTTTCTAAGAAAGGACCGGTGTTGCATTTCCTCATGATTTTTAGATCACTGATGTGAGGTGTGCTTCACTGTTTTATGAAGGTTGGAAGACAGATTTACTGTACATTATTTTTTGTAACAACAATGTATCAAATGGCAATATAAAAAGAAGGTGACAATGGGAAATGGGTGGCTCATAGTGATGAACCAAGTGAGAATTATCACCAGAATCTGCAGCAAGCTTTACGGAGCTATATAATAAGTGTACAGCTTGTTTGTCCATCTGAGCGTACGTCCATCTCTCTGACTGCCCTTCTCAACTCAGCAGCCCGGCTCTCCTCAGCACCTTGCTCACACTGGGGAGCAGTTCTTCTTTAAAGTCCCACAGGCGAGTGTCCACATGGAGCTGCTCCAGTGGCCGTTGTGTCGGGGTGCTGATTGGGCTGTGAATGATACGACAGACGTCTGGTGGAACCTTAAACTTGTCTCCAAACATCTTCAGCACATCATGTACTGAGGTCTGCTCCACCATCCTGTGATGTACATAAACATTCACACATGGTCAACCCTGAGCATCACACGAATGCTGCTACTTGATATGTTTAATACTTTTTAAAAAAGATATATATCTTCAATATATATCTTCTGATATTTCACATCAGGACTAAGAAGTCAGCCTACCTTGGTTGAACTATCATCTTGTGGGGGTGGTATATGTTTCTGTCGGGCTCCTCCCTGTAGATGTGCTCCAGAATATTAAAGCCTGGCACCCCTCTCCATTGAGGCAGGGGGCCCTTTTTACTTTCCTCAAAGGGTTTCTTGGGAAATGTATGGTTCTCAATGAGGAACACCCCCGTCTGCAGGACATGAGGTTCCACAGGTGCAGCATGGAATTTGGAAAGACAATATAGTATAAATAAATACACAATATGATGAATAAGTTTGGGGTAAATGTTATGTTTTTATGAAATGCATTCACAAAATACCCTACATTTGGATGCTGCTGTTGGAGCGTGTTAAACAGTGACATCAGGTCGTTATGTTGGTATGGCATTATAATCTCATCTATGTCGTTCAGCATGACATAGCGGGACCGGTCCATGGATCTGTAAATGCATTCATTAAGCGTGGTCAGCTGGCCGAAGTAGTGCACATCCCCACCACTCTTTGAGAAGAGCCAGCCAGAAGATGGATTCAGATGCTGGTCAATGGGCCAAGGAACCATCTCCACAAAGCCCTCTTGGCTGTAGGTCTGCAACAGGCGGTCAAGTTCTGGGCCACAGCTGGTGTTATAGATCACCACCCTATTCACACCCAGAAGCCTGAGGCAAAGGTTCAGATTCATAATATTATATTCACTTTTGCAGGGGCTTTTGTTGAAAGTGGCCACGTAGGAGAAAGAGCTAGATATCTTCTAACTGGGAATATATCCCTTTTAAACAAATAACTTAAAGCATGTTCAATGTTATAGTACAAGTAGTATAGGTGCTTATAGACACATTGTAATTAAGTGCTAGCAAAGGTTGAGATGTATTCTGAATTCACTAAAAAGTCAATCACATTTACTTCCAGGTATAGTATTGTAACTTGTCCCCTTCAACAGATATATGTTTTATCATGTACCATGGTGACATTGAATCCTCACACTTGGAGGGCACAGCAACTCCTGCTACAGTAGCCCTGAAATAGTTATTTTGCTTTTGAAGCTAGTGACACTTTTTGGAAAATACATTTATTAGATTTCTTACTGACAGTTCGATGAGAAGACTGATACCACGCTCTTCTTCTTCTTCTTCTTCTTCTTGTAAGATTCCGGCAGTGTGGACGCTTATGAGCGTATTACTGCCCTCCACAGGTCAAAGTTTGAATAAATTCTTACATACAGTCCTGTGTCATGCAAGAATTGAAGGACTGCCTTGGAGATCAGTTTATGCTCGTCACTGTGCCCAAACAAAGATAAAACAGAAAAGCCTCAACTCCAAGTCCTGACAGTTTATTAACGAGTACAGGCACTCCAGGAAAACATGCCCCACTGTCTCAAGACTCCCACATTCACACAAGCCCGAAACATGCTTCCCTACAATGCACAAAGAATAATTTAATCCACAGTGCCCCAACCTCAATCTGCACATTTTAACTGAGTCCCTGCGGGACAAAATGTTACATAAACATCTCTTCCTAACTTTGGGTTGTATAGAAAAGTAGTGTCTGCCTCTAATTTCGTTTTCCCACCCTCTCTGCCATTCTTTTATTAAGCCCTCTTTAATTCTTTCTCTCAATTCCACTCTCCCTAATGATACATGGACATCTACTTCTCTTCCTAAGCTCTCTTTTGCAATATTATCCACTCGTTCGTTCCCCCTCACCCCAACGTGCCCGGGAACCCAGCAAAAACTGATGTTGCAAATAAACCTAGTTCTAAAAACCACATTCAAGATGTCATTTACAATGTCAGGTCGGGCTTTAGATTTTCCTACTTTCAAATTTTCCAGAGCACCTGTAGAATCAGAGCAGATAATGACTTCTCTAGGTTTGACTTCCTCAATCCACCATAGAGCCCATAAAATTGCCATTAATTCAGCAGTGAGGACAGAGCTTCCATTAGAAATACGCCGACCAATTTCCAACCCTAACTGCTCCACATACACCCCAAATCCAGCTCTCCCACTAACTGGATCTCTAGATCCATCTGTATAAACAATCATTGTGCTCCCACTAATTGAATTAAGATATTTCTCTATTTTTAGTGCCACTTCCCACTTATCTTTTCCCTGAAGAAAACCAAGCTTGATATTTATTTCAGGCATCACCCAATATGGTATTGGTGGCCAACTTATATGCTCTACAGTAACTCCCTGATCCATGCACATCTTACCTGCCCACTGATTTACTATGTCAAAAAATGTTTTGTATCTATTAGCTCCTGCAACCTCTTGCAACAGACACCTTGCTGGGAAGGTACGATTACACCCACTAAGTTTGACCCAGTGTTGTAACCCTAACTTAATGCGTCTTAACCATAAGGGCATTTCTCCCATTTCAATGAGTAGGGCAGAGACTGGGGAGGTTCTAAAGGCCCCACAGCAAAGCCTCAAAGCCCTTGCCTGCACATCTAACCTATCCAGAACAGTTTTGGAAGCAGATCCATACACAAAGCTCCCATAATCTAGAGCAGATCTAATCATGGCCTGAAAAATTAGCAGCATCGTCTCCCTATTAGCCCCCCACTCACACCCAGCCAGACTTCTCATTACATTCAGAACTTTTTCACACTTCAACACAATTTTATCTACATGCACAGCCCAAGTCAAATGCTCTTCAAACCAAACACCTAAAAATTTAAAAACCTTTACCTTCTCCAATGGAGACCCATACATATATAGCCCTAGATTAGGTAACTTTCTTTTAAATCCAAATACTATATATTTAGTCTTAGAAGCAGAGATTTTAAAGCCCCATGTGTTCCCCCATTCCTCTACAGATACCAACACTCTTTGAATCTGTTTTAACACAAACTCTACATTACGCCCTCTTTTCCAAATGGCCCCGTCATCTGCAAATAAAGATAACCCGAATCCTCTTTCTACTTTACCAAAGATATCATTGATCATTATATTAAATAACACTGGACTAATTACACTTCCCTGTGGGGTTCCATTCTCTATGCCCACAGTCTTTGAATTAATACTACCAACCTTTACTTGCATTGTTCTTTTCATTAAAAAATCCTTTATCCAATTAAACATTCGTCCCCTAACTCCCAAGTCAAAAATTTAATCATCAATCCCTCCTTCCACAAAGAATCATAAGCCTTCTCAATATCCAGGAATACACTCACTACTATTTCCTTATTGCTAAATGCCCTTTTAATATCTTGATCTAAAACTGCAACTGATTCATTGTAGACCTTCCATTCCTAAATCCATTCTGTACATCAACATAGTGTCCTCTTGTTTCTAAAAAATATACTAATCTGTTAGTAACCATCCTCTCCATAATCTTACAGATCACTGCTGTGAGCGCTATAGGACGGTATGATCCAGGGTCAGATGCCTCTTTCCCTGGTTTCAAGATAGGGACCACAACTGCATGTTTCCACTCCCTGGGCAAATAACCCTCTGCCCACACAGTATTAAACAAAGCTAAGATTTCTTCAAGTACAAAATCATCTAGATATTTAAACAACTCATAAGATAGCCTATCTCTCCCTGGGGTAGTATTTGCCCCAGACATAATTGCTTCCTTCAACTCTTTTAAAGAAAAAAACAGATTAATAGGATTTTCATTTTCTAAACTCCTCTCCAGCTTCCACTGATTAACTTCAATCAATTCATTCCTCTTCCTACGCCTCTCAACCCCCATTATCTCTGATCTATGTACAGCTTGAAAACTCTCAACAAACATGTCTGCTTTCTCTTTATTGGAAACTGCTACCACCTCTCCCTTCAGTAACACTGGTATCAATCTTTTTTTATATACCCCTGACATTCTACGTACTACTGACCACAAATGCCTTACTGGAGTTCAGGACCTAACGTACCACAAAACTTCCTCCAACTGTTTCTTTTTACATCCTTTATAACTCGTCTTGCTACTGCCCTTAGACGCTTGTACTCCATTGCATTAACCAACATTGGATACTTTCTTAATCTTCTATATGCTTTATTCCTACTCCTTACAGCTTCATCACATTCTTTGTTCCACCAAGGAACCAGCATACGTGACCTAGGTTCCTGCTTCACAGGAATGGTATAGCAAGCAGCCTCATGCATCATGAGGCTGATTGAAGTATTCCAGTTGTCTACAGAACCCTCACTATCAACATCTCCTACTAAGCTTTGAGCTTTCTCCCGGTATTTATCCCACTTGGCCTGAGAAAAATTATATCTAGGGACACTCTTTTCCACTTCTCTTCTCAACTCTCTACCAAATCTGCATAAAATTGGATAATGGTCACTACCCAGTGTATAGGAATCTATAACATCCCATTCACCAATTCTAGCTAAATTTGATGATGCAATTGATAAGTCTATATGGCTGCAGGTATTTCTCCCAATATTATACCTAGTCGGCCTTCCATCATTTAACACTACCAACTCATATTTGTCTAAAAAATCTTCTACTATAACACCATTTTTATCCCTGTGGTCACTCCCCCATATTGGATTGTGCGCATTAAAATCCCCAATCCATATAACAGGACACCTTAACTCCTCCATTATCTCATCAAAGTCTAATAATACCAAAGTTTGACAAGGGTTATAATAATTTATCACAGTAATAGAGCTGTGACTGCTCCAAACCTCCACAGCCAAACACTCAATATCAGAGTTAATGTCAACTTTTCTATATTGTACCCCAGTCTTAACAAAGGTTGCACAACCCCCGCCTGATCTATCAGGCCTATCTAATCTCAAACATTCATAACCTGGAATTACAAAATCTAGACAGGGCTTTAGCCATGTCTCTTGGATACATATCAAATCTGGTGCTTCTTTAAAATTATCTACAAACCTTTTTAACTCCTGACCATTTCCAATCAGACTCCGGGCATTCCATTGAAGAATATACCACATGAAAACATTAATGAGGGTCCTCATCATTCACCTCACTAACGTCCTCCATACTGCTAGTCTTCAACAACTGTGATCCGTCTATACACTGACTTTCCATCATGTATTGATGCAACTTTTCTGGCAACTGCTTTATACTCAGGTATCTTTCGGCTGCACCCACCACTAACCTAATGACATCTGACCGGTTAGTTGCTTTCTTAGTACCCACCAACACATCAGTAACAAAAGACAAAAATGACTCCTTACTAAAAATTAGCATGTCAGATGAAGATGCAGGTGGTAGATTTGGCACAGAGACCTTGCATCCTAGCACCGGCCTTTCCCCAGGGCTTCCATTTCCGCTTTCTCTGGTCACTCTTTGAACCGCCTCTGCATATGTTACTTTGTTCTGATCCTTCACAACCTGCACCCGCCTAGCTTGGACAAAGTGCTCACAGCCATAAAACCCTGCTGCATGATCCCCATCACAGTTAGGGCACTTAGGAGTCTCTGCCTCACAATTTTGTATGATATGATCTCCACCACACTTTGCACACTTTCTTTTGCCCCGACATGATCCAGCAACATGTCCAAACTTCTGACAATTATAGCAGCGCAAGGGTGGTTTAATGTACTCCCTCACTTGATACACCATACTCCCTAGGAACACTCTCTGTGGTAGTACACCATCTTTAAATTAACAAAATAGGCGGATCCCCAGCTCCATCTCTACGTTTAAATCTTACCACATCAGTTACTTGGGCCCCCTTAACATTTTCCAAGATTTCCTTCTCAGACAAGCCAGCAAACATTCCATATACTACTCCCTTGACTCCCTGATTGCTTCCTCTAGGGACCAAAGTCTCCACCTTAACCACCAATTTCCCAACACCTCTAGCATCATCATACTGTTTCCTATTTTTGCAACAAACTCTTAACATTCCATTATATAATATCTTGGCCTGAAAATCCTTGCCTATCTGACTCTCCAAAGCATTAGTAACCTTTAATGGTTAATTGCCCTAAATCCTGCATCTCCTTGATTAGCTCCCTTGACTTTAAACAGCACAACTAACTCTTCAGAATTTCCAGTTCTCCTAACTTTACTTCCTTCATCTCCTGACATTTCAGTCTTTCCCTCGATGCCTCCCTCTTAGAGCCCCCTTTTTCCTTAACCACCGTATGCCACCCACCACCACCTTCATCCCCTCCACTCCCTGAAGCCATTGGCCTCCAATACCCCCTCCTTTCTAACAATACTCTATTATTATTGCTTATCCTGTTAACAAAAGAAAATGGGAAAAAAAAAAGGACCTTACAGCAGAGAACACCAACTGATCTCCTCTCCTGTGTCGGCTTTGTGTATCTCCAAACCTTTTTCAAACGTATCAGACCAAAACTGTTGATTGTTTAGCTAACCGTCCATCTCTGATGCCACTCTCTTGGCTGTAGGCTAAACATGTAGCTAGAGCCAACAGAATTTTAGTTTGGCTTAGCACAAAAACTGAAAAGGGGGAAACGGCTAGGATGATAAAAAAACAACAAGCTGTGATTTTATGGCGGGTTATGGGCTGGGGAAGTTTTACTCATTTTACCCTTTTTTCCCCATATGGATTAAATTAGTGTGACATAAGGTGTTAATTAGTGTGCTTTAAGGCAGATTTGCTCCCTTTGGACAGAGCCAGACTAGCTAAGCTAAGCTAACTGGCTCCTGGCTGTAGCCTAATATGTTTTTATTTGGCATCGATCCTCTCTTCTAACACTCAGCAAGAAAACGGCCAAAATGTTTTTCCCAACATGTCAAACTATCCCTTTAATTTATCTCTAGACTGGGCATCGGTTCAGGCATGTCACCCCCAATGTACTACATTTGCCTTGTAAAGTGTTAATGTAAACTAGAGCTAGTTTATGTAATCTTGTTTCTTCCTTTGCATTGCTCCTTTTTTACAACATAACACATATGGATGCCATGTGTGACTCCAAGCACAGCAAAGATTTGCATCCACCATGGTGACACTGCCCATCCTGCTCTCCTACCACAGATACAGTGTACCATAAGTACAAATACAAAAAATTACTACAGTCACAGAAACACCTGTATAGTATGTATAATGTATAAACAAATAGCACATTTGCAAAGCTTTATACAGTGTCAGAGAAAAGGCTGATTCAGCTCAGCTTCTGAGCTTTTGACTTTGTGGTTTGTGGTGTTGTTGCTGTGCTGACCTGTACATCTCCAGTGTCTGTGAAAACTGAAGCACGTTGTTGTAGTCTCCAAACAGGTTGGAGATGCAGACTGTAAAGTTGAACTGCAACTTTTTCTCCTGCTTCTCATTGGTCTTCTGGTTTCTTATAGGAAGCCAAATCTGGTTAAACTCCCTCACTTTATCTGGCTGAGTCAGAAGAGTGACATGTGTAGCGTTGCAGTTTTGAGGAATCTGACACATGACATCTGTAGTCACGAAGGGGAAGCCAAAGTTGTCTGTATGTTGTAAAATTGTTGTTGGAGTTGTAGTTGACAACTGGCCAGCACAGCAGAAAAAACAGTAAAGGGGCTGGATGGAGTCTCTCCTAAATATGCCAATGATGCGTATATCGAAGCCATTCACTCTCTGGTCCATGTAGGCTGACACCAGTAAGTGCTTGGTATTGTTGAGGGGGGTGATGGTCTGCTCAGAGACCCGGGAGGGGCAAGTGTTCAGAGGCCCACGTGGCCTTGGGATGGACCTGTATGTCCTGGGTGTTCTCCCAGTGATGAAGAAGATGAGGACAGAGGTAGCAATGAAGAGGAAAAGGACCTTCCCTCTGAATGCTTTTGCTTTGTCCATCCAGCCACTTACAAGATAGATTCACAACCTGAGGCAGAATTAAGAATCACAGTTAGAGAAATTATACATTTGAAGAACAAAGCAAACCAGCTCTATCACTACTGCAATAAGACTCCTGGTGAGATGTAAATGTCATTTATTTGAAACCAAAGCCTTCATGTACAAAAGTTTAACTATTATTAGCTATTTCTAATAGCTTGTGTAGGTGATGTTTGAAGTTAAAATCACAAAAGATCACATTACTGCAATAAGACTACTGATGTCTGATTTTAAAGAGGTCATATTATGCTAATTTTCAGGTTCAAAATCTTATTTAGGGTTTGTACTGAACAGGTTTACATGTAAATGCTCTGTATTTGTCTTTTCGACCACTGAAAGCACTTTTACACTGCATCTTCATTCACCATTCACACACTGTGTCACGCTCTGCCGGTCGGCCATTCTTTGTGTTGCACTTTTGTGTTTGGTATCTGCCTTATAGTATGTTGAGTTTTGGGTTCTGTCTAGTGTCCAGTAACTGCTATATAGTCTGTTGTGTTTTGAGTTTCTCTGAGTTATTGTTTGGTCAGTTCATTATCTGTTATTTAGTTGGTCTTTGATTCCATGTCATGTTCTTAGTCTTGTACTTTAGTTCATGTCTTTAGTGTTTACTTCTGGTCTTGTGTTCTCTGTTAAGCTCTGTACTGTGTTCTAGTTCTGTGTTCTGATATTTTGTAACATGTGTGCGTTTCTGTGTTGTCGCTTATTCACTCTGCCCCAGGTCTGCTTGTCATGTTTAGTCTCATGTCTGTCACCTCTGTTGCTCCCGCCCTGCTCGTTAGTCGTGTGTGTGTGTATATACCCAGTGTTTCTGTCTTGTCTTGGTCTGGTCATTGTTCATGTTACCCCCAGCCTGTCGTGCGTGTACTCTCTGCCTGCCTGTAACCAGCCTTGCTTGTCTTGTCTCCCTGTACTTTTGGATTTCTGTTAGGATCACCTTGTTTTTTGGACTCTGTTAACCAGCCACTCTGTCCGTAAGTGTGCTCGCCTTTAGTTTGTTTTCCCTCAAACCCCTGTTGAACTATACCTGCTCCGCTCTGTGTCCTGCGTTTGGGTCCTCCAACCTGCCTCCACACCACCCATCGTGACACACTGAGCCTCAGTGCTTAAACAGAAACTAACATTCTCACACACTCATACGCTGGCGGAACAGCTGCCCCTCTAGACATTGTTTAATTTTCAAATAAGACCATATTTTTGTCTTACTGCACAATGCTGTAGCTCCTCTTTTCACCCCATGTGTTGAACGCTTTGTTTTAGCTATGGAGTGATGCATCTCGCCTCTACAAGATCTTTGGGAGTTGCACATTTTGGGAGTTCATAGTAAAGGACTACTAGCCAAGCAGAAGCTGGTAAACACTTCGGTTCAGCTGTATATCCCCCAGGGGCGAGTTCAATCTCAAAACATTTTGCAATGTTTTCAAACTGAACGACCTTCAACGTTGTGCAACATTCCGCAGTGGACTTCCAGGTATGCTTTCTCCCATTTGCTGGGCATGTCACAGGTGTGACCCAATCAGTTGCGACAAGTTTGTAAAGACAATGGTGTTAAAAAGGAAGGAAAATTCAGTGTGCTTGCATACAGAATAGGCTGTTCGTGGCTCCTCCGTTTCCATTGAAAATTTTTTTGCTACGTTTTGTAGTTTGTCTGGCGCAAGAGTTTCAGAGTGGTGAATTATTAGTTTGTAACAAAAGCATCTTCCATCCAAGTTTTAACTGTGCACTGTCTCACAGTAACAACTTTATGTCCATTGACTGCCTGCAGGGAAGCTAATATTTGGAAGGGAGAGGCAGCAGGCGAACGTCTTGTCACTGTGTGCTGCAGCTCAATGTGTTTTTCCACTGGTGTTTTTGAGGGAGTGTCTAACTAGGCGCTAGGTGAGCATTATGACGCACGTGATTTCACACGGATCAAAGGGAAAAGGCTGTGTTAGTACCAAATCTGTATTGCCAGCCGGATCCCTATCTGTAGTTCTGCACATGTGCAAAAGTGGTCCTGTCTGTCAAAGGTTACCACAAATTTGCCTGTTCATAATTTCTCGTGGTGTTGCCTCAGGGCGTCAGTGACTCTTTCAGAAAGGCTGACAAAGCATTATTTGATGCAAAAGGTAGCATCCCTTCAGCGTCCATATGAGACGCCCCCAGACACGTCTATATAAAACGCCCAGTCTTGACTGGAAGTGCTGGTAGCTAGCTACATTTGTATAAAAGGCATTGACAGCTACCCAAAGCCCCTTACCCTAACCTTACCGTCACAGGGGTGTGTGCCTAAACCTAAGTCAGCAATTGGATGCATGTCGACTGGCTAACCCTACAGCTATGCACATCGGTTGTCAGGCCCTAGCAGCTAGGGTTGGTTTCCTTCGTGTTGCTATATTGTTAGATTGTTAGAAATTAAAAATGTACTGTCGAATAAAGATTTTCACATCTTAAGTACAGTGAGGAAAATAAGTATTTGAACACCCTGCTATTTTGCAAGTTCTCCCACTTAGAAATCATGGAGGGGTCTGAAATTGTCATCGTAGGTACATGTCCACTGTGAGAGACATAATCTAAAAAAAAAATATCCAGAAATCACAATGTATGATTTTTTTTTTAACTATTTATTTGTATGATACAGCTGCAAATAAGTATTTGAACACCTGAGAAAATCAATGTTAATATTTGGTACAGTAGCCTTTGTTTGCAATTACAGAGGTCAAACGTTTCCTGTAGTTTTGCACCAGGTTTGCACACACTGCAGGAGGGATTTTGGCTCACTCCTCTACACAGATCTTCTCTAGATCAGTCAGGTTTCTGGGCTGTCGCTGAGAAACACGGAGTTTGAGCTCCCTCCAAAGATTCTCTATTGGGTGTAGGTCTGGAGACTGGCTAGGACACGCCAGAACCTTGATATGCTTCTTACAGAGCCACTCCTTGGTTATCCTGGCTGTGTGCTTTGGGTCATTGTCATGTTGGAAGACCCAGCCTCGACCCATCTTCAATGCTCTGAGGGAAGGAGGTTGTTCCCCAAAATCTCGCAATACATGGCCCCGGTCATCCTCTCCTTAATACAGTGCAGTCGCTCTGTCCCATGTGCAGAAAAACACCCCCAAAGCATGATGCTACCACCCCCATGCTTCACAGTAGGGATGGTGTTCTTGGGATGGTACTCATCATTATTCTTCCTCCAAACACGGTTAGTGGAATTATGACCAAAAAGTTCTATTTTGGTCTCATCTGACCACATGACTTTCTCCCATGACTCCTCTGGATCATCCAAATGGTCATTGGCAAACTTAAGACGGGCCTTGACATGTGCTGGTTTAAGCAGGGGAACCTTCCGTGCCATGCATGATTTCAAACCACGTCTGTCACTTTTGTAATGTATTTATGTATTATCATGCATTTTATCTTTCTTGCAGTACTTATGTAGGCACTATACTAATTATATTTAGCACCAATTTGTATTTATATACTTATCACTTTTGTACTTGTTGAAGCACTGTGCTGACAATATTGGGCACTAATTAGTGACAAACTGCTCAGCGACTACGGATGGTAATTAGCTATTTAGCTAACTCCAGTTCATTTACACTGAAGTCAAACTACAGTGTTGATTAATGTGCATTGTCCCTGGTAAATAAAATTAAATAAACAAACTGAATTTATTTTTACTTATACCCTGACTCATAAGTTTATTGTACAATCTAATGCAATCCACTATAACATCCCCAAAATGAATACTTTCTTCGAGAGATGGTGGTCATTATTGTAATCACTTATTGGTGGTGGTGTATCTGACTGCATTGTATCAGTTGTCAGTTTTGTATCAGTTGTCAGTTAACAGTTATACTGAGGTAGAGACAGTAGCTCAGGCATCAGGCTAGCAGATCTGGCAATCTGGCAAGGTTGAGTCATACAAGAATGTTTACAAGAACTTACTGGCTACACAGATAGGAGTAAACTTCATGGATAGTAACAGATTTCAGTATGAGTGGAGTCTAAACATCAGATTTGTTGTTCTAGGTTATGGCTAGTTAAAGAAGACCTAAGAGGGAAACCTACAGGCATTAGGGGGAAAAAAAACCCATGAAAGTTATCAGTCTGCGAAACTTCAACACACCTGATAATAATCATTCTTGAACAAAGAAGACGGAACATTAGAAACACTATAAAGCTCTTATATTAGACTGGAGAGGATGGTCTCAACAGGATGGTGTCAGGACTGACTCTGGTTCGGCATTTAATAAACTTGGGGAGTTCCTGGCTGAGATTACCTTTGATAAAGTCACCGAGGACAGCAACTAAGGTGTGTGGGTTTGCCCACGCCACACACAGTATCTGGGGCATGTGCTGGGGGTCCTGCACGTTGGCCTTTTTGTCAGAAGTTTCTGTGACGCGATCTTCTCTGAAGTCTGGTATCAATCCACACAGCCACGGAAGATAAATAAAAGTCTTTGTTCCCCTCACCTTCCTGCTGACATCCCACAGTCTGACTCTGTTAAAGTGTTTAAAAAACAAATTTTAAACTCATCAGACCTTTTTCTCTCTCCCTGGCTGTGCATCAGATGTTTTGAATCTGGATCTTTTGGAGATTCAGCCTCTCCTCTGTCTCTCCTCCTGTGTGTTTGTTTCCTGCTTGGTTTACTCTGCTGTTGCTTTGCTTTCCGTTTCCAGAGCTGCAGACCTGTTGATGAGGTTAATGAGTAGCATGGGACACACCTGGGACCGGTGTAACGCTGCCTTCCACACAACTGGGAACTCAGAAATTTCCAACCTCCAACTAGAAAAAGTACCATGGAATGCCACCTGAAGTCGGATTTCCTACTTCTGAACTCAGAAAAATAATATGTACCCCGACTTCAAGAGTAGCAGCTGAACGATGTCACACAACAATGTCAGCTCCCATGGAAACACACACTGTAAATGGTAAACAATAACCTGAAAGGCACCATAAAGTATATTTGCATGTATTTAATTAAAAGTATAAATACTATCATATATTAAAACATGTTCTGCATGTAAATTGATGTAGAAATATGTTGCTAGGTAGCTGGTTACACCAAAGAATCCCTAAATCATCTTCTCTACACAAAAGTTATTTAGTAAAATGTAAAAAATGCAAAACATTTGAAAACATTAGGTAGTATAATGTACAACATCATACTACCTAATGTACTACTGATGACCACTTGAGTCACTTGTTTTCATTAAAATGACCAAAGGACAGTGCTGAGGGTGCAACTGGGTGCACACTTGACTTTGTCACGGTCAGCCTTGTTTTTCGTTCTCTTTTGGCATCAGGCATCACCATGCACCTGGAATGATTTGAGGTTGGATATTTCAACTTGGAAATTTACCAGTTCTGTCTGGAACGCGGAATAAGTCTCCTCTCTCCACACACCTCTGTGTTGTCGCTTTCTTTCCCTTTCTTGTTTCTACAGCACAATTAGGGTGACCTGAAATATTTGGGACAGTCCTGAATTACGAGCAGTTGCTGCTCTGGAGCAGGTTTGCCGTTCACCATAAGTTACCATGTTCCAGATAAGAGATCAGCTCTATAAAAACACCGCCTACTGACCAATCAGTTTTCTTGGAAAATGACTTCACCATCCCTAGAAGAGCTCACAGACTGTTTTACAGGCTGCTTTTCTGTTTGCTGTGGTGCAGTGGTGCGGCTACTAAAGCCTTGTTGGCTACTATTTGTTTTAGGCTTTTATGATATGACAGTAAGCCTACTTACCGCTTTGAAATGTGCTTTATATTTTTTAATTGCTCCCAAGTCCTTTTCACACAGCCTGTTGCAACCATTAAAATGAATGGGTTTCATTTTACTGTGAGGCAGAATATTGTGAGCATAGGCCTATAGTTTGGTAAGCCTATTGAAATTAAGTTTAATATGAAAATGTTTATTTAATTTTAGTAGCTATTATAGAGTCTGGTCACGTAGCGCCCTACATTTTGTGGGGGAGCAGGAGTTTTCAGAAGCCTAAATGTTGAGATTCAGTCTTTCGACCACCATTTAGCACTTTTTAATGGCGTGAATGGATTTTTTGTGTGGTTGCTTTATGGTGTTAATTTAGAACATTTTTGAAAATGTTAAATAAATTAATGTGATTTTTGAAGTGATGAGAAGTTCTTAAAAGCCTAAAAGACCACTTCTCAAGGGTCTAAGGATATAATTGTATGCTGTAAAGACTGTAAAACCTATTGAGGCAAATTTGTGATGTTGAGCTATATAATAAAATTACTTGACTTCTCCTTGCTGCACTGTTTTTTTGTTGTTGAGATAAGCAGGTTACATTCTACCAAACCCATACTTAGTGTTTTGTAGTCCTGTGTGATTAAATCATTAATTTAAAAATAATTAATTAAAAAAATGGACACTGCTCTTCTTTCCCATAAGACTCAAAATGTACTTGTGGTAACAGGTACTGTCTTAATAGAATGAAACCTGTGTAGAAACCTTCTACCACATTTTGGGATTCTTAACAAAGACCAGCAACGCTGGTGCTAGAAATGTATTTGGCAGTTAAACCTTGAACTCACTGTGGCCTTTAAAGCCCCAAAAGTTATTGTTAATAGAAGCTGATAGATCTTTCTTCCATCCTCTTTTTGGAGTAGATCAAAACAAGAATATTAAAAAGCTTCTCCTTCTCATTTACATATAGTATTTCACCTACTGTGTCATGTGAGACTTGTGTGTCAGGAGCAGCAATGCTCTTCCTGCACACCTAACTGTCAACTCATATATCATTCCTTCACTCACTAACCTGCATTCTAAAATATGGAACATAAAATACTCTCTCCAGGCAATTAGTAAAAAAAGCTTTGTAAAATAATACTACTACTTTTCTTAACTTCCCAGGCCTCTCACTTCCTACATCTACAGTACCTATACTTATACCTACATAAGTAGTGCCTTGAACCGGTAATTCAGAGATTTACAACTGTAAATGATGATGATGACACATACACACACACACACACACACACACAGTGGTGCCCCACCAGCCTGATAAACATACAGTGAAAATAAAACATTTTGCTTTGCTTGTGCTTTGTGTGACAACTGCAACAAATTTGTCCATATATCATAATATAACTCTCCAACAGCTCCATAACAGCTCCATGGTGTTGTCTCACAGTACTCCTCAACTCATCCTGACCTCTGACCCAGTTGCATAAGCACTTCCTCCTACAGCGTTTGCAGTGCAGCAGTGACTGATAATAACCATGCACTATCGAAGCCTAGACTTCTTTTCCCCAATGCCACTTTGGCTAAACAGCATGCGCATTCAACTCTGGTGCCGTGAGAGACCATGGCTTGAGTACTCTGCAAAGCTAGATGCATGCTTCTGTTTCCCCTGTTGCACATATGGCTCAAATATTTCGTCTTTAACAAGCAATGTTTTAATTATTGGAAAACTGCATTGGAGAAAGATAAGGCATTCAGCCAGCATGCACCTTGTCAGTGCAATTTGAGGTGTGCTGTAGCCTGGTAGCAAATGAAGCAAAGTATAGAATCTGGGGAAACTATTGCAAACCTCCTACCGTGCAAGTACAGTGCAATTAGTGGGCTTCCTCGTTGTGGCAGCCTGGAAAGCCCACAAAATGAACAAGATTTGTCTGCAGGCCTCTTTTTTAAAACTGGTTGAATACACTCTGGCAAAGCATCCAAAACTTATTGAAACAATCAAAGGTATACCTCAAAATCTAAATACATATCCACAAACATACAACATTAAATTATCAGTTATCACACTGGCTAATTTACTGTTCCTTGAAATCAAAAATAAATATAAAAATCCAGATCATGCTGTGTTTAGCATTAAAAGCAATGAAACTAGAGACAGATGCAAAGATGGAAAATCTTTCATTTATGATTCACTTTTTCTGTAATGGACATGTAGCCAACCAAACCATTTGCTTTCATATGAAGGACACTGCATATTATCTGCCTTCTCCAATGAGGCAACCAACACAATATGATTATTGCTAAAGCATCTATGAACATAATCTCAAAACAATTATTATGGCAATGACACAGGAACAACCCATTGAATGAAGTAGGGTAAGCCTACTTATAGAGGGAGACCTGTGCTTCACGCATCAACAGGATCTCAAAGGGAAAACAAAATGCAGAAGACCTTAGCTCAGTAGGAGCACTTTAAATTGAGTGAGGACCAGACAGGCAGTGTGCCAAATGTGCAATTTGAGAGTAGCATATAGCCCCCTTAAGGAAGGGGAGTCAGTGTGTGCGCGTGTGTGTGTGTTTTACCACACACACACTATATGGCTATATAGTGTGTGTGGTACTTGAGAAGAAAGAAACAGTGTGAGCGAGTGTGTGAAACTAGGTGAGCAGGTGAATGGCAGCAGAGCAGAAAGAAAAGTCTAAACATTAAGCCTCAGATTAGCTGTATATGTACAATGTCAAGTCAAGGGCGTAACTTTGTGCTGAAAAGTTGTAGGGACATTTAAGGGCTCACATTAGGGGTGTCTGCGATAAGCGGTTGATGATGGATGGATGGATGGACATTAGGGATGTGATAAGACACTTATTCTCGTAAATTCTAAAATATTGCCTGTGCAATTTTAGTACCTGTTATGGGTGAGTTACAAAGAATTATTGCGTAGAGGACAACGGTGCAAACACAATGGAGGTGGCAGTATTTAAATGAAGTAGTATTTACATGTTTTGCATGTTTTAATGGTTTCCGCCATGGAGAGTCGGGAGGGAAAGCAGCCACTGCGTGAAAACATTGGTTTGTTTCACTCAGTGTGTCCCGAGTATGTGGAAATCGTATCATTACGATAATTTACTGGTGATATCAAGTTTGCACAAGTTTTTACTTATGCAAACCCTTAGTAATTAAAAAAAGTGGTATCCCCAGCGTCCCCAGTGTAAATGACACCTATGGTGCAAGTTGCAGTGACTGGTGAATAAAGACTGCAGCTTATCAAGATTAAAGCCACTACCCACCCGCTGATGCTGCTGCGCTTCCCTGCTGCGCTGCCCTGCTGTGCTGCCCTGCTGCCAAAGCTTCGAATATTCGCTATATATTACTACTGCTGAAGCTCCAAAGCTCAAAAATAGTCTTGGGCCAGCCCTACAAAAAACAACTGTTAGCCTACTGTGAAAAGCCAAGATCAGTTTCACCACGACATTTTATTTAATTCACCATCTGGCATTGCGATACAACAAATAGCAAGCAATGCAAATTAGAGAAAAAAATTATGTCTAATTTCTCTCAAAAGAAAGCCATGCTCTGCAATAAAAATTTTTTTTTATCTAGATTTAAAAGATTTGGTTTGAGTATTATCCCTGCAATGGACTGGCGACCTTCCCAGGGTGTACCCACTTTTCGACCGATGTCAGCTGGGATAGGCGACCCTGTA